GTGTTTCACTCACTTCCGGGTGTAATCAGGGATATTTCATTAATTATATGGGTTAATTAGAGGTATTTCAGTTACTTCCGGGTTTAATTAGTGGCATCTTATTAGTTACCGGAAGTAATTAGTATGGTATTTTTAATTAATGAGACTAATTACCAGTTTTTATAGAAATGGTAAGTAATTATATGATAAAACATGATATAAGACTATAATGGACTGCTTTCCATTGGTATAATATGGATCCGTAAGTGAGCTCGAAATTTCAAGTTTACGCGTCGAGCTCACTTTTTTTGACCAATTTTAATAGATAATGTTAAACTGAAAACTAAGCGTGGATGATAAGAAGTGTATCACCTTACAAATGCGTACAGTAGCACGGAAATTAGTATAATGTCGAGATAACCATAGAGAAAACTGCGTTTTATACTATAGCATATTGATATTTATGCTTGACTAAATGGAATGTAGCTTAAACAGAAAAATTCTATACCATGATGTGTTATGGAAAAAATGTTCACTGTTACCAATTACGATCGCACTTTTACTGAATATCATTGTAAATAGATCTATAACATGTCGCAGTTTGTATTATGGTATCGAATTATTTGACAAATGCTATGATTCTATGATATGACTAATAATATTTTATTTTATTTTATTTACAAAAAAATTCATGCATAATAAGATAATACAAATATATGGAATATGTGATTAAAACAAACAAAAGAAATAGATGCGAAAAGGAAGATGCATCTATAACCAGCAAATAACTTTTCACAATATGAACTAGAAAAGGATTACAAAGCTACTATAAAAGCGACACTAATACAAAAAAACACAGTTATAATAACGAACATAGATTGATGATTTCATTAAAAAAAACATAATATGCAAAACAATTCATAGCGACTAACATGCATTTTTATAAAGTAAAGAAAAATTATTGAAAATACTCAGAAAATCGAAGTTGAGTATCAATATACAATTTATCAAGTCTTTCAATTTCAGCAACGTGCGATTTACTTGGTTTGATTCGTAGAACTTCGTAATCGAAAGGCCGTAAAATAGCTACATCAATGAAACGTTGGAAACGTGATAGCGGTACATAAACAGCGGCAATATCTTCAGTTTCATTCGGCAGTTTAAGGTCAATCACGGGTTTACTCAAAGTTTGACCTTGACTCTTATGTGTTGTAATACAATAAGCAGATACAAGTGGTAGTGCACGTCGTTTAATTGACAACATTGCTTTCCGGTTCGATTTTGTTTTTTTATTTTTTGGAAGAATGTCAGTAACGTCAAAACGAAACGTTTGTTCCATTACCGGTACTGGGACGATTTTTGGTTGAAGTGTTTCAAGATTACATTCAATTTTCGATCTAGCAATTTCAATTAGTGCATATAAAGGTCGATGCACGTACTGTGTATTATTCGGAAACGTGTTTGATAGAGCATCTGTTGACACAGAATCAGCCTCGTAGACTAATTGTCGAAATATTCCATTTATGCCGTTAATAAGACCCAGTTCAATAGCAAGATTTTGTGTTAAAATAACTGGCATCCCAGGAACAAATGGCAACAAACCAGGTAAGTGCTCGGTCTTACTGTCAGATAATTCCAATAATTTTTTCATCAGTATAGAATCTTCAATTGGTTTTCCTTTGCAGGTATCTTGAGCGACACATACCATTGGCTGAAGACCTAGTTGTGCTGCATTGTGAACTGCTGCTTTGTTGTTTAGTTGTGTTCGTACTTCATTTCGGTATGCTAAAATGGGAGCCTAAACATCAAAACGATGAAAAATTATTTTAAAAACAAAAAAGAATTTACTTCGTTCCATGGTGATTCGCGAAGAGAACTGACCGATGGCTGGCCAACGACGCGTGTTAACAGTAATTCATAATCCCCCAAAGTACAGTCACCTTGACGAAGGCGTTCGAGTAATTCACGGTATCGTTCATCTTCTGTTCGCATCTGTTGATTAAGTTTGATCACACAGTTAATTTGAAGTATCAGGGAACGTGCAGCGCGTTGTTGAATTTCTTTTTCACTAAGTAATTGACCTGATTTGTTTTTAGAGGGCTGTGAAAAGTCAGTGTACAACGGTGCATCATATACTGGTCGATATTGTAAATAATCACCAAAAAATATGACGTTTATGCCACCAAATGGAATTTGAGGATCGACATGTTTGGCAGCGGACATAATTCGATTGAGTTTTGCAAGTAGAGTTAATCCAACCATGCTCATTTCATCAATTAGGAGATATTCAACCAGTCTCCATTGGTTTTCAAGTTTAGAATCACCTGGTTTGATGGTGCGCGGCTTTCCCGAATTACGTTGTTCACCTAAAAATGAGTGGATTGTCATGCCGCCAATTTCAGCAGCAGCGATTCCGGTGGGTGCGAGTTTTCTCATCATTTGTATTCTTTTTGTAATAAGAAAGTATTTGGTGACAGTACGAATCAATTGTGATTTACCGGTGTCGCCACATCTAGGTATGCACATTATCAGCTGACGATTGTTGGTACCTATATATATATATATATATATATATTATTTTGATTTATTATTAGACATATAGATTATTAAAATACCTGTATGACGTTCCTTGTCGCCATCAAGATGACTGGTTATTATCATAAATGCAGCTCGTTATTCTCTATTCAATGTATATTCAACAATAATACTTTGCTGAGTAGAATAGCTTGTGGTAGTCACTGACGCAACTGGAAGAATTTGAGTGTAATTATCAAGTGTATTTATGTTATAATTATTCGAATTGACCATAGTTACAAGTGCATTCTGTATATTATCATAGTCTAATGTATCATCCGTTTTGTCATCGTTGCCCGTAATCAAACTTCGACTAACTCTTTCTTTCTCAGTCTTTAGTTATTCTTGCCATTTTGTATTGAGTCGAACGAGATTAGGTGTTGCTGAGACGAACGGCACAATTTGTTGAAAGTGATCTCTAGAAGATTCATTTACTAACAATTGACTATTTGCTACAAAAAAGTAGTAACGTTTATATCTACTTTATAATTAATAATAATACTTACTATGTGTGTGAGTAAATCGTCCAACCTTTTCTACTGCTTCTATGGTTTCTTCAATGTATATATTTTCTGTTGTCTTTTTATTGCTATTTAATGCATTGGTAGTATATTCGTTTAAATTACCAAGCAATTCAAGTAAATCTTCATTGTCACTTGCGTCGTCATATTCATCACGCATGTTACGAGTTGTTATGACTAATTCAGGATCAATCGTACCATTTTCAGTTTGAGCTTCAGTTATAATTCGAAGTAAATGCTCATCACGATCTTTCTTACATTCATGTAAGAGTTGAATATTTTCTATAATATTCTATGAATCCGCAGATATTTGATATTGGCGTGACTTGAGTGCATCTTCCCAATTTTCATTAACATCACAAAGGTCAGACACCGAACGCCAAGGTACAAAAAGTGTGAGAAGAGCTCGACTATATCGTTCTTTAGTATCTTCACGATCATGTCGAGGAATTTGAGGATCATAGAGAATCGCTGTATGAGCCTCACTGTATTCAGTCAACAGATAGGTTGTTGCTTGCGGATGCTGTTCTTGAAAAAGAAAACGTTGATTTGGTGGTCGGTCTTTTCGAATCCCTTGTTGCTCTTCTGTGGTGGAAGACTTGGGAGAAGATTTGGATAAATATTTTGCATCTGTTGCATTCATTTTTCTCTTGTAAAATGTACTAACGAAAGCGCATAAACAGATTTTGCTTCGAGTATCTGATCGATATTGATAATCAACTCTTGTGCTGACAAGTACAAAACTGTTTTTATTTTCAGTAGATTGAATCTGAAAATTTTCTTCATTATTGTCTTCATCCACAGTATTTTCATCATCCAACACATTGTCATCGTCAATTACATCTATCTGTGAAAAAATATATATTCATGCTTTTTTCTTTATTCAATTAGATATATATGTCTATATTTCCCGTCTTGATATGTAAAACAAGAATTACATTTAAATTTCATTAAATTAGTTCGATGCTCAACACTTATTTTGTGTAGTATCATAACTAAATTATACTCATGTCATTCTTCGAGTATAGATCGTTTGAAAATCAGAAACAGTGTATAATATTTTCCATCCGTCAATGTCATTCTTTTCTCTCTTTCTGTTCTCTCGGTCTATGAAAACAAATGTACGGTTTTAACTGCCTATCATACATATTATTTTTCGTTTCGTCTAAGTTGTGTCTATCACAAATGACTTTTCTTTCTCTTTATTTTCTTGTTCTCACTCTTCTCTCTGTTTCGCTTTGCATATGCAGAAGACAAACAATTGCTGTTTCAATAAAAGTTAGTGCAAAATAATAACTGTAGAAAGGTAAACTATTATCTTACCATGCGAGGCATGTTCTAAATTTTGTTTAATGCGTAATTCGTTTAATTCTGTTTGTAAAAATATCTCAGTTTGAATTAAATAAAGACCTTGAAATTTGTGTGTAGTGTAATGGTCGCCCCAATTCATGAGATAAGAGGCAACTTGAACTCCAGATAGCTCTTGTTGAGAAGCAAGTGTATTGTAACAACGCAAAACCAGTTTGTGTGATTTTTCTATAGCACTTTCCGCCTCTGTTTGATCTGCTACATTTTTGAATGATGTAATACTTTTTTGAATAAGAGAGAATGTATCATGAAAAGATAGACTCGTTTTTGTGATATAATCAGTGATATAATACACAAGAGCCTTAGTATCACTACCAGTCCAAATAAATTTAATATCCATGTTGGAACGACATGATGATATAACGTATTCATTAAAATTATTAATCCATGGATGTGATCGTCGCATAGAAATATGACCAGTCTCCGGATCAATTGTCGATACTGATATCAATTTGCGTGGCATAATCAATCGACAAATTTTCTTCGCCATAGCTTTACAATATTTATAACACGTATCACTATGTCTGTGAACATTACCTGATTCAACAAGTTGTGTCACATCAGCACAAAATCGTGACCAAAAGTTAGGTAAAGATGGATCTGGAGTAGGCAAACATGCTGGAGGTAGCCTTGACTGGATATCCGAAACATCCATACCTAAAATGATAATTATGATTTTGTGTGTCATTAAAGATTTATTAAATCATACTAAATATTGATTGATCATGTATTGGTGTTTGTAATAATTCAATGCGTTGTGGAGAAGCATAAGAAATCGATGGAGAGCCACGCAGATTTGGTGGAGAAGCATAAGGAACTGATGGAGACGATTGGTCTTTTATCGGCGTCAACCGAATATCATTTTCATTTGTATTTTCTTCTAAACCTGCTAAATCAATAGTACGTAACGCTGCATAAATATTATCACTTGATAATCATGTTGGAGTATTGAATGATCTTGGCGCTGCAATATAGAAGAAGAATGCGATATTGAAATTAAAGAAATATCTTATACCATCTAAATTCTCGAAGACACGTTTATCTTTGAATTCATCTAGATCTTCTTTGATGATATCTTCTAAATATGCTATCAAATTTTCACGAAAACTTGCATCTTGAATCTTGTTCTTCATATCAGCTGGCTTCAAGACATGATTAAGCCAAATAAGGAGATGCAAATGAAGTGAACCTCGTCCTTGACTTTCAACAGTACCAAAATATGCTTTCACAGGACCGACTACACCACCAAGAATCATTGTATCTAAGATATTAGAAATCAATATATGGAAAAATTTGGCAGTAGCAACAGGATGAGAAGCGATAATTTCGGCACGCTTGTATGCGTCCATAAGTTGTTCGGCTTGAACATTGTCCAAATCAAGTTTCACACCTGCAAAATATAATGCTACGGGACTGTGAATATCAGCTGGATTGAGAGTGAGAAATATGTTGGGTAGACTTTGATTAAAAATCATTGCATGAAGATGTGTACGTAAGGATGTACGTGAATATGCTGAACCCATCACTCGACCGCCGATTGTTTTAATATGATTTACCAGTTTACCTAAAGCCTTGTTAGATCCTGTATTGTATGTTCCTGTAGAAATATTTTTAAGAGCTACCTCAATATCACTAGTGTTCAATGAGTGAATTTCTTGAGCGGAAGATCGAAAATAAGGTTTCGTTGCTATAAGTTGAGCATGGAAACATGCATCACGTCTTTGCAATAAATTAAAGACTACAAATATAAAACTATGATTTTTTTCAAAACGTCGATCATTGTAGCATAAAAGATAACGTATATGTTCTCGTAAATTTATGGTGAGTGGCCGTGTTCGATCTTCAGGTGCTCCAAGTCCATAACAGAATAACGTTCGATAGAGACCTGCTAATAATTTTGGATTAAAATATTCATTGACAGGTTTGGAAGAATGAGGAATCAAGTAAATATTTTCAACATCCATTTCATCATTTGTTCCATCGTTTTTGATTTTCTTTAGAAGATAATTATTTATTTCCTCGGAAGATATCGACGAACCATTCACGTCGAGAACAGCACTAATAAGCAGAAAAAGCTCTTAAAAAGTTTTCTTTTCTAGCTGTTCCTACCTGTTATTAACAGGAATGACATTTGAGATATTCAATTCTGTTGAGTTAGATAATGGATCAGGAATATATCCAACTCTTTCAGATGGTACTTCTTTATCATTTAATATCTGTTCCATTGTTGTCATTATGGGTTCTGGTATATCATCTTCAGGTAGCTGTGCGATATTATCTAGATTTATATCGATATTCTTATAAAGTATATTGTATTTATTCAACCAACACAGCGCTTCAACAATCTTTTTCTGTCGCACTGTAAGAATTCTTTTGAGTTGAAGACGCTCTGGAGGACGAGCTCCAATAAAAATACTTTGAGAGTGTCACACAGATCGGCCATTTCAAGTGGTAGACTGTTAACAATATTTGGTGTATTTTGTAGAAAAGTAATACAATTGCCTTTTAATGCACCTTGAGCAGTCGCCATTGAATGAAAAGGTGACTGTAGTTTTATTATACAACTATTGTGACGGTGTAATGATATCAGTTTTTCTTCTGGGATGGTTAGCCCTTGTAACTCAAGAGGCACATCACCTAACCACATATTGTTTGCTACTGAAAATTTAGGAATCTGTTCCTTCGATAAACCATTACTGCATTTTTGACAAAGTATACACATATTTACATTATTTTCTTGATACATCCCATTGACATAGAGAATAATATCATTTTCGTAATCGAAATAAGACGACTTTGTAGTTGAAGAACCTAAAATAAAATCAGGATTGCATATATAATCTTGAATATTTTTGTTATCCGTATGACATTACCGTTAGAGTTTTTCGAAGTAGATGATTGAGTATTGATGACTAAATTTTTAAGTTCATCAGATATTTTGAGTAGATGTATATTAGGAATTTCTGACATTGGCAT